GTGCACTTTGCGACCGTGAAAACACAAAACATAGTAAGAATTACTTTATGATTTATGATTATGAGCACCTACTAGCAATGGCCTCCAACCTACAAGCAACGGCCTCCACCCTAGTGGCCCTAGTAGCGATGGCCTCCAACCTACTAGCGATGGCCTCCAACCTAATAGCGCTGGCCTCCATGTGTCATGATTTGGCCATACCGGACCATACTTGATATTTGGGGCACACAACTGGAGGCAAGTAAAAAAATAACAACACTGGTGAGATGTGAGTTCCTGAGCATTGTCATTCTGCCACCAGAACCGGCTCACACAAATGTTTCTTTTGGCTGGGTTCAGAATGCAAGAATTCGCTCTATCATGGCATGACTGTACCACTGCAGTTTCTGACCGTTTGTCTTTGTTCAGGTGCCGAGCAAGTGTGACTTCTCAACAAATTTTTGCAATATGTTCAACCTCTTCTGCAATGAGGCGAGCGTTCTGAGGGTAGGCCTCGAAGGTAGATCTCAAAGAAGCTGAATATGAATAATTTGGTCCGGTGAGAACTTTGCTATTTGCTTGGCCTGAATTTTCTTGCTTTCGTGGTATACAATTAGTGCTCGCAAGCAGAACATTTGAAAGAAAGTTTGGACAAGGGCACCCACTGGCTGTTCAGTCTGAAGGGGGCCTGCTTGGTGGTGGAAGGAAGTGGTGTTTGGGAAGACATTTCATATGGTCAAAGCATGGCAAGATCACCCCACATTGAAGAAGCTTCGCACTACTGGAGTTATGTGCAGCTTTGTTTAACTAGGCCTTTGCCAGGGAGACTTGAGCCTTGACATTCCATTTGGCTCAGATGGATGGCTGCGAGTCCTACAAACATAGCTTGGGCTATGAGGAGGCAATGTTTGGCACCAATTGCAACCACGGAGATACGCAACTTGACACCAGCAGGGGCGAGAGCATGCGGCCACCTGAAGACAATTTGCTGGCTGTTTGTTCAACAAAGATTCGCGATCATTTGTCATCTCACAAACTCATGGGCTTGCTTTAGCTGTCAAAGTTCCTTTGATGTCGGTTTGCGGGGAGAAGGGTTATCACCCACCCAGAACCTAATCATCATTCTATATCATTCTTGAACACATGGTCTGTCTAGCCTCTGAAGCAAGTGAATAGAATTTCGAATTATTAACGCAAGTGCCACACTATGGTTGAAGCAGTTGCATGAAGGCCATTTCAGTTTAGATGTCGTCAATGATGGACAATGACATTTCATACTTTTCGTTTGAGATTGCTTCAATATTATGTCATGTGTATACTTATATGTTTAAAAGTCTTAATGACCAGACCAGCCACCTCTGCCAACTGAAGCTGTTTCACTATGAGGTGCGGCGGGTGGGAGAACAAGGAATCTGAATGCACTAGGCGATGATTGGACAGGCGTGATCGGGAAAGGGCAGAGGAACCAACAGAACCCAACCAGCGGACCATTCGTTGGAGCTGCGCTTCGTGTCAGATGTCTTCCGTGCTACCTGCGGGATGCACCATGCATGATCATGTATGACCATGCATGCTGCATGCGAGCATTTAGTTTCCCTAAACATCTAGGAACCAAATCACGCTTCTTCAAGGAAGCTTGAAGCAACGGCGGGCGGGAGCGGAAAAAGGCGATTTTAGATGTTTCTACTAGTAACAAGTGCCACGCTAGTAGTAACAAGAAGCTAGACTAGTAGTAACAATGTTTGCTATTTAGAAACAATAAGCTACTAGGAACAAGACAGTTACTACTAGTAAGGCACTTGTTACTAGAAGCGATGCACTTGTTCCTACTTGCGTCCTCATGAGGGCTTCTCGGAGTCGTTTCAATTCCAGGAGAAAAAGTGCCACGCCTGGCGAGTTTCCCATCTGGATGCGCCCAAGTGTGAAAAAGCTGTCGCGTTACTTCATTCTGGTGGTCAACCGGCAACATCAATCATATCCGACCCATTTAGTACTCTTAGTATGTGCGACTGCGAGGCATTCCCAACGACTGTAGCTGATGCCTTAATTTTGAGATCAACCGCAGGAAGGCCAACCAATGTCAAGCGTGCTCTGAGTTTCCTCAATGACTTCCGCAAAGTTTTCTTGGCGGACAACAACTTGTTTCTGTCAGAACACAAGCCTTTGCGCACATCACCAGGAGGGCTTGATTCGTGGCTACACAGTGGAAGGGAACCGCATCACTGTCCTCTTGAAACACTACCAGGCACGATGAATGACAACCAGCGTCTTCCTGCTTGCGGGGTTAGATCTGTTCCAGATGTATTTGAAATCTCTTGATCACGAAAGCTAGCTAGCGGCAGTTAGTTGGAGTTCTTCTTGCTTAGGGAATAGCTGAGTTGCAGAGCAGTAAAACATCCCAACAAACACCACTCCCCTCCTAAGGCACGGGTTCAAGTCCCCTGGTCTGGGTGCCTCCTTACTTGTGTTTGTGCATGTGTGCCACTTTAGTGGGGAGCTGTAGGTATGCGAAGGGCCAACGGGTCTGACATGCCGTTCTCCATCCGTACCTCACGCTCTCTGGTCCTCCTCCACCCTCGGCTGGTTGTCGACCGAAAGCTTGGGAAAAGGGAAAAGGTGCTGAATGTCTTTCAAATCATGCTTGCGCTTGTGAGAACAAGCTACCCTTGTGATGGCAGGGGCTACCTTTCAAATTCTTTCAAAGAACGTGTGCAAGTGGCCACTATATTATCAAAGACACCTTGCGTGTGTAACAAAACAGTCAGACTTTACATCATCATGTTCAAAGTTTATACAATCGTCCATAAAATCGAAAACAACAACTGTGGTAGACGGCGTACTCACTAGGGTCCCGGTCCCTGTTGAATTTTTGCCAGAGCTTCGTCAAACCAATGCTTGCAGAGCAAGTTTGATTGGTAAACTCATGGCTATTGGTACTTTGGCAGTCAGATTCTACAAGATTCCAATGCCCATTTGTGAAGATTCGCTGCGGGCTTCTCTGCCCAGGGCGCGCCTGTGATTCGCAATATCCGTGTGGTGTCCAAACCCAGCAGGGAAGCACAGGTGTTGCCCAGCAGGCGACAGGAGGTGGAACTGAGAATTGCTCGGACGTCTTTAAGTCCCAGCACTTGTTCCCTGTTTTGTGCATGTTTTAAGCTTTGGTTTGCTGCTTCAACCTTACATCGCATGAAACATCACGAAGCTCTTTCAGCTAAATAC